TGTAACGGATTACACGTACACAGAGTGAAACGAGGTTACACGTATCCATATATGAAAGAGTTGTTCACACAAAATGGTGTGACCATACAAAGGTGTAAATTACACAAGTTGCTGTAATCACACAATTACATCAAGAAGCCACTACGTGGCGAAGATATGTATATAAATTAGGTTTTACAATTTAAGGCTGCTCTGCCGAAAAAAAATCAAAAAAATTAGCTTCAAAGTTGAACGAAAGAGTATATCTGCCTAGGTTAAGGTTGTAAGGAATCTTGGAGGTAGCGGATTGCGATCCGCTACACTCGTACTGGTTCTAGTATAGAACGTATAAATGGTGACCTTAGCTTAACTTCCATTAAGCAAAGAGTTACGGCAGCCCCGCTACACTTGGTAGCACTCGTAGTCAATCCTACGCCCGAGTCCTTGCGACTTATCCTCTATGAGGATGACGTAATTCTCCTATTTGACCCAGGGCATGCAGGACGAACTTAACAAGCTGATGCCCTGCTTAGCCCTAAGGGAGTGCAACACCTTGCTCCGGAAGGAACCGAAGCAATAAGTGCGCGCCCAGAGAGTGAGAGAGGCCAGGATGACTATGACGTACGTCCTGCTTTAGATTGAACAACAGCGCGTGGCGCTAGCTATCTCCAAGCTCGGGGGGCGAGCACAAGATTGGGCGCTAACGTGCGGCACTTCGGTAAATGCGGCCTTCCCTTCTTGGAAGGATCTGATGCTTTTGTGAGTGTCCTCGCCGCCTAATCAGGCATATCGCGTGCGATCGCATTTTCTTGCCGCCCAACAGAGCAAGAAGAATTGGTGGACTTTGTCCAAGGTTTGCAAACTCTCATTGCCGGAATGGCAGCCGATCCTCTCCTCGAGGCGGTCACAGTGACCGTCCTTATGGAGGGCCTTCGCCCTGGCGTGGGCAGAATGGAAATCTTTAGTGTGCATCCGTCTTCATTTGAAGAAGCGGTGAATGTGGTATTGAATGCCGAATTGAACTTTAAGTCGGCACGACTTGGTTGAGATGCACAACCTCAAAGCTCCACGAGCGGGCCTGAGCCAATGGATCTCAGCTATGCCGAGAATGAGGAGTAGAGCTCCGAGCTGCCGAGCAGCCTTTAAATACCCGACGGTGTTGTCTCTGCGGAGACACCAGTCACCTTCCGAATGGTTGTTCCCTACGTAAGGTGCATAAAGATTAATCGAGCCGATGTTCCTCTTCTAACCAGTCTAGTTTGTCTCGGGAAAACGAGATAACCCAGTAGGGTGCGGGGTACCCTACTGGGGAGAAGTGAGTTATGTTGAGTCTCAAGGAAGTAGAGGGCAGCAGAGCCCAGATCCAAAGAGCTCCGTACTCTTGAACACGGAACGTGTATGTAAGCCGGGCTTGCTGGTCGTAAAAGCGACTGGCCAAGGGCTTTGAGAAGCTGTGGAAGATCTTTATTGTTTCCGTGGCGTCGGGTGTTTATGCTCGACGTTCTGCGATCAAAAGAAGTCATCTAAATGCTGAGGCGCTGGAGGCGCGGTTGAGTGACACCGCCACTGTTTGCTTAGCGACGGGGGCTTGTGTCACTGTGCCAAGGGTCCCTGTGGACCTCGGTGTCAATTTTCTTGACCTTATCCTCTGTATTGCATGGTTAGAACGTCACGAGCCATGTATCGATTGGAGGTCGAAGACCCTGGGCGCTACGCGCACGTCTCCTGGCGGAGCTATGTTGAGTCGTGAACCCACCTCTGCTAGGAAGCAGAAGCGCTATTGGCGTTAGCATTTGACCGGGACGGCCAATGTGCTGGATATCGGTGTATCCGAGCTGTCGAACACCAAAGCTGTTTCGGACAAGAGTCCGAAGCATGGCTTGCTGGCTGAACGCGGAGTGGCACGTAACCCACTGAGGTATCAAACCAGTTGCTGCATGCCAAGAATAGCGTTGTCGGACGAGGTCCAAGAAATCTTGGGCGATGCCCTAGTGATGCGCTTGTAGTGGTACGTAATCCACTTAGCACTGCTCACGTCTCGTAGCATTTGCTGCATGCTAAGAGTGGCATGGTCGGACAAGGTCCGAGAAATCTTAAGGAAGGCCTTTCTGATGCACGTGAAGGTGCACGTTATCCACTGGACGAAGACTGCAGACATAGCAGCTCTTTGTGGGATGTTGTCAATAAGATCAAGGTCCGATGGAGCAGGGTGGGGACACTGGACGACGCTGAGTGCGTGTTCTCACTCGAGGAGACGTCAAAACCCTTTACAGAGGAGATGGCGATGACGTATGTTATCTGCAAGACACAGGGCGTCGATCCTGACCCAGGATGTGTCTGCCGTCGACGATAGCGCACAGCTATGTACCCTTGTCAACGGTATGACGGGAGAAGAAGACGGTGACGTCACCCTCGAGGCTATTCCTGCGGTAAATGCACTTCATGAGATTACCGAGATCTCCTTCGAAGAGTTTGGCCGTGCCTTAAAGGCAGGCGATTTAGCCGAGGTGGTCATTATACAACTGAACGAGGAGATTAACTCTCCGTCGCAAGCTGCCCTGGAGTACACCAAGAGAGTGCTGTACGTACGAATTGAATCGTCGATCCTGAAGAATTTCTCGGATCCATAATGTCCTTTTAGAAGGGAATTTCAAGACGTCTTCAAAGACCATCCGTCGATCCTACCTCCGGACCGAGGTGTGCTTCTTGTGATTGACCTGGTTTCGATAACCAAATACTGCGTAACACGCCAATGCCTCCTGCCCAGGAGCAGTGTGACGTCATTGACGCGTTTTTACGTGCGAAGCATGGCGCAGGAATGGTGCGTGAGAGCAAGTCTCCCCATTCGTCACCCACGTTTTATGTCTGGAAGCCGAATGGCAATTGACGTATCGTTCACGCTTACAATAAGCTGAACGCCGCCATTAATCCGGCACAGAAGCCGATTCCTAATATGGATGTCTTTTGAACAATAATTGTTGGATCTACAAAGTACAGTGCACTCGACTTGGTCAATGGGTGTTACCAATTCTCATGAGAGCGAGTAATATTCCGCTGACAGCGGTGAGTACTCCGAGCGGCATGCTCTGGTAGAAGCTGGTGTTGCCTCAAAAGCTGTAAAATGCGCCAGCAGCATTTAATCGTCTTGTGACGCAGTTGTTCAGGTCCCACCGGGGGTACGCACGGACATACTTCGACGGCATCTTTGTTCACAGTCGAGCGGAGCACGGTAGGACAGATGAAGAGAACCACATCGTCCTTCTGAGAGCGGTGTTTGATTGCATGCGCACGAACAAACAGTACGCCAATGCAGACAAGTGTATCTTTGGCGCAGAATAGATTCCCTTTTTAGAGTGCTTCATTGGGAAGCGTAGTCTTCAAGCGGATCCCGCTAAGGTCAAGGCCATTGTAGACTGGCCGGTTCCAAAAAGAACCAGAAGGACTTGCGTAAGTGGCTTGATCTCGCCAACTACTTGCACAAGTACAGCGTAAACTACGCAGAAATGGCCCGACCATTA